CACTACATTCAGACAGCCACTTTCGGGGGTATCCAAAGCACACTTTTTCAGTATGTCAAGTGAATAATAAATTAATACTGTATCTTTGAAACGTAAGGCAGTGAGTGTGAGTTGGGTTTAACGCCGCTTTTAACAGTATTCCAGTTATATCGCGGCGTGTCAGCTTAATGTGGGAGGAAAGCCCGAAGTGATGCAGGTCTCAGACGTTTACCACTTCGGTGAAACCCACGAGCACGGGTATGGTGCTGACAAACCTAGAAACATAATCGGGGCGAACCGGGATTCGAACCCACAATCATAGGTTTCTGGCGTGCCCAAGGGACGCAACTCTGCACAGCGAATCGCGTCGCCATAGACGACTGGGCCACCCGTGTCCCCCGGGTATTTCTTGAAAAACGCTATTTGCAAATTATTGTCATTACTGAAAGTAATATTGCCTATAGCCGGAATGTTTTGTTTTCCATTTATAAGTTTAAGCACACATGTAGCTGTCTTCGTTGATAAATAATTGCGATATTTTGTGATTCTATATCAAGTGGCGAGGACGATAGTGTAGAAGCAAGTTATGAAGCAAAACGTTATTAAGCTTGGCGAGATGTGTTATCGCGTTAATTAAATATTAGGTTTTATTAATATCAGAGCAGCCTTGATTGACAACGGTATAAGAATATATATCGAAACATCGCCTTTACAGTATTTAAAGAAGTTGTTATCCATAAATTGTGTCTACTTTGTCAGAACAACTTTGATTTAGTTTTTCACATTCGAAAAGGCAGGTTCACTCTCTCCTTCCCAGCGTGTTTTGCGGTCATCTCTGTACTTCTGCCACAGACTAGAGAGTCTGTAGACACATTTAGAGAAAAAATAGGTCATTTCAGAAAATATTCTAGAAAGTGGAACTTGGGTTTTGTTTACGTTTGTATACACAGCCTTCCATTAGCCGGTCCTGCTCAGATCATGCAGATTTCAGAATAAGCGCGTGTGTTTACAACAGGGGAAAAGTCCGGACAGATAATGTTTCTATTCTACAATGTCGAAAAACATTTTGTGTTTTAAGATTTCTGGGCATCGACTACTCAAAAACGCATAATTTTTACCTTCTAAATATTCATCTTTTGTACCTACGGGATCAGGATTTGCGTCCCACGACATATCCATTGTGTGAGTTAAACAGCCCTCTTGGTACCTTAGATGTCAAACACCAAGTGTGCAGAGCATTATAACCATATTCCCAATCTCTGGTGTCGTACGGGGCGGCGGGGTAGCGTAGTGGTTCAAGCTTTCGCTCACCACGCCGAACATCCCGGGTTCGATTCCCCACATGGGTACAATGTGTGAAGCTCATGCCTTGTGTACCCCGCCGTGATATTGCTGGAATATTGCTCAAAAGCGGCGTAAAACCATACATACTCACTCACTCTAGTGTCGGGCTGCATATTTGTATAGACTCTGTGTCATGGCATTTGACATAGCGATAGAGACGAAACGACATTGCAGATTGTCATTTTGTTTATGATGCTGGGCCTAGATTTTCGAAACGATCTTAGTTAAGATTAATCTTAACATCTTACTATCAAAGATAAGATATCTTAAGTTTACGGTAAAATACAGCTTCGAAACTATATCTTACATCGTACAAAGGTACGATATTTATCGTAACTTTGAGAGAGAACTCATTTGTATTGGAGACTGAAAAGGCGTGGTGTTTACCAATGACAGCACGGGGATTTCTCAGCCGCAAACAATAACACGGTGAAATAACTCGGAATAAATGATCGGCTGATGGTCGTCAACTGGTCACATGGTTCTGCACGCACCTATTTCCGTTCTTCCCGATGACATAAAATGTTTATTTGCTCCCAAAATACCATTCAATATGTCCATTTGCAAAGCTGACCGATTGTATAGGCTTGGCATGTTTGTATACAACAATTCGTTGGCGAATATTCGGGTAAGACAATGCAACAGAATAGATCAGAAACGTGCAACTCTGTGCATTTATTAGACGTGTCGTCAATACGTAGTTGTCTATAAATGTATTGCGGCAAACACAATATTACCATAACAACTGTATGTAATTCATTTGTAGTCAACTCGTTCACATGGACAGCCGTACACACCAACCTCTGCACAAAAAAGATTACTTATTTGGCACTGCGCACTAATGCATGTTAGCTACATTTATCACAACTTTCTGAATGTTTACATGCTACAGTCACATTTATGACATCTGTGGAAGTCTACGTATCACGAATGCCGGTGAGAATAATAATTTATTGCAAGTCTAGCTGGATTCTAGTCGTTGATGGGGCGGTGGGGTAGCTAGTGGATAAAGCGTTCGCCCGTCACGACGAAGACCTGGGTTTGAATCTCCACATGAGTACAATGTGTGAAGCCCATTTCTACTGTCCCCAGCCGTGATATTGTTGGAATATTGCTAAAAGCGGCGTAAAACCATACACACTCACTCTCGTCATTGATGCTTCTTTGTAGCATATGTGTGTCATGTAAAGACATTTTTCCAGAAGAAAAAATGTTAAATATAGTGTTACTACACTATAGCTATTAGAATTAAAATAATGGGAGAAAAGATACTTTACTATTCTTGCTTGAAATGGTCTTCTCGCGAATGCGCCGTTACGTAAAAAGTCAAGGACGAAAGTAAGGGAAGTTATTCTAACTGACAATTATGAAACCTTTGCTCGAACAGCAGACATGCAGCATTATTCAAGTCTGTTGTATACTGGGTCAGTTTGACAATACTGCCTATGTTTTTGTTCGTGACCAAAGTCACGTTACTGGCGAAAACCCCAACATTACACCTTGAAACACACAGGAAACAGCGCACACTTGAACTTATATTGTTCTATAGGGTTACATCTGTAACCTGTTACTTTCAACAGGAAAGGATCGCCACAGATATAAGTAGCTAAAAGCAGTAGTGTACAGGGTAAGAGTAGGTTATTAAGGGTCGTGTAAATGGAGAATGAATGCAAGGCCTTCAAGTGTTACTCTTGTATTGTGAGTATTTCACGTCGGTGGACACCAATTATGGGATTCACCAAGGAACCTACGTGGTACTTGCAGTCAGCCAGGAATGATAAAACCACACCATTTATCTTTATGAATCTGAATGAAGTATGGTCAGCAGCTACCCAGTTTTCGTGCTGAAATGGCCAAATGGGCCACACGTTACAACGTAAATGTCAGATCCTTTCTTTTGCTGCTGGGTTTCAGCAAAGAACTGAAACATTAGAAATCTACTTCTTGCGTTTCATTTACAGTGTTGAAGCCAACTCACCCACTGTATTTGTGAAAAAAGAAACCAGAAACTGACACTACTTCTTGCGTTTCATTTACAGTGTTGAAGCCAACTCACCCACTGTATTTGTGAAAAAAGAAACCAGAAACTGACACTCTGTGATACAAACACAACCATTAGTTCAACCAATACATTGTTACATAGTATTTGAGCCACATGAACTTTAATCAACATAATGTTACAGTGATTCAGGATCACAATGACGGAAAAGGTCAACAATGTCTGACATGTTTGCTGCGAGGTCTCTGTGCTCAGTGGGACCTTCTGTATTTAGGAGACCGCCTCCGTTTTCTAGTGGAAGAGCGTCCTCGGGCTTCGGCTCCCGGCTGCGTCATGACAAGAGATGCCTGGCGCTCTGCATTAAAGGGCTAAAAAAAGGACTGGTCAGCTCGGAGTCAGTTTATTGTGTCTGAGTGGGGTATTCATGTTGAACTGCGGCATGGTATCTCAGTGGGCTAGCACAATAAAGTCACATTAGTCCGGACTAGTACAAGCAGTCACACACACACACACACACACACACACACACACACACACACATACGTGCATGCACGTCGCTCTATAAGTGCAATAATCTTGGACGCGACGTTGAACACCATTTCAACTCATCTCACCATTTGTGTATATGCAGGGTTGGCGTGTATATATTATATACATGGTTGACATGTTTTTATTTATATATACCTGTCTTGTGTCTTTGATTCACTGAAGACCAGGGAAGATCCGGGGTAGAATAGGTCTTCAGCAAACCATGCTTGTCGTAAGAGGCGACTAACGGGATCGGGTGACTCGCTCGCTGATTTAGTTGATGCATGTCACCGTATCCCAATTGCGTGGATCGATGCTCATGATGTCCGTCACTGGATTGTCTTTACAGACCGCCGTCATATAGCTGGAATACTGCTGAGTGCGGCGTTAAACAACAAACGAACGAATGATTAATTGAATACACTGAATATATATATATATATGTATATGTATATGTATATGTAAAGAAACTATACATCAGGATTGCAACTTGGTTTATATTAGATTACATAAATATTATAAATAGTCGAATGTATGGGTAAATAAGCGTAGGCACGTTGTTCTGACCCAGACACTCTTTCCAAACACGTGTGGCGCGGGGTCTGGCGTTGTCCTGCTGAAAGATGCCGCCATTGACGTTGATGAAGGGGACAACGTGGCGCTGCAGGATCTAGTCTCGGTAGCGCAGACCATTCAGAGCACCATCAACTCTCTCTCAAGATTACAGCTGCATCTAACAAATCTATGATCAGACTCTATTCCATTCAGTGCTATATTGACTTTAGCCTTTATCGCATATCAGTACATGTAATACTATGTCAAGTGTTGGGCAAAGGCAGCTTCTTGTGTTGCAAAAATATGGAGAAAAAAGTATGTAAATAAATATATGTAAAATAGCTAAAGTATAGATAAAAATAAGACCTAGATAAATACCTAAATAAACAAAGACAAAATGAAATACGGATACACCCCATTTTAATTTCACCCGAAGTGCGGGGTATAAAGCGTTTGATAACCTCTCGCCCAGCCGTCACTATCTGGAAAGTTAAATAGTGAACTTACATAAATCAAAACCTTAACCTAATCGACAAAGATAAGAGAGATCGACATACAGTGTATCACATAACTCGACTGTTGACGTCCACCCATTCCCACACACGTATCGGTTTAAGGTTGTACACGGCTCGGTTAGCGTGCATTCAGCAGATTATTCTTGTATCTCGCCTTGACGTACATCGACACATGTAACTTGTTCATCTGAATAGTAGCTGGTGTCCAGGTCGTAGATGATGCCACAAGACAACGCCGCCGATAGAATATGACAGGGAGGGCGTATTTCGTAATTGTTGTTTTACTGAACGTACAGGGTAAGTCCAAGCTTACAACTACTTTGTCAGAAAGCTTTCCACGTACTATTACCTCTCCTCACATCAATCATCTATCTGATGATTACATTTCAATATTTACTACATTGTAGCTTAGTATGTGTATTTAACGTGCACACAAATACGTGCATGCATATTTATCATGTCATATTACAATAACAAAGAAGTTAGGGATCGTGAATATTTTTTACTTTATTTTATTTATTTTTTTTTACTTTTTTTTTATTTATTTATTTATTTTTTTTATTTTTTTTTTTGGGGGGGGGTATTTTATGAAATTGTGTGCTCAGTGTTCCCTGCAACATAGTACTCCTCAAAATAGTCATGATCCGCTGTGCAGAGTTGCGTCCCTTGGTCACGCCAGAAACCTATGATTGTGGGTTCGCATCCCGATTCGCCCCGATTATGTTTCTAGGTTTGTCAGCACCATACCCGTGCTCGTGGGTTTCACCGAACTGGTAAACGTCTGAGACCTGCATCACTTCGGGCTTTCCTCCCACATTAAGCTGACACGCCGCAATATAACTGGAGTACTGTTAAAAGCGGCGTTAAACCCAACTCACTCACTCATTCATGATCCATGACCTTTTAAAAATATATTTATCTGAACATGTGAGATATGAAATAAGGAAATGATATGTAACAGTTGCATATGACAAATACCAGCACTACGTTCAATCTCTTTCAATGTCAATATTTATTTCAGATTATGATCAGTAAGAAAATGCACATTAAATAATACAACAGCTAACGTTACTTTTCAAATAACATTATCTCATGACCTCGAAAGGTCGTCTGTGAATTAAAGAAAATGTCAACTTGATCAGGTCACATGAGATAAATATTTTATTTGAAAAGATAAGTTAATATCTTCTATTCATTAACGTTTTGAGTATTTGATACCTGACACCTGAGAAGATTTCGCATGTTATGTCTGATCTGTAGGAATATTTTCAGTCGCCAAGTATACACATTTTCAACAGCTTTGGCGGTCATTTCGCTGTACGATAAGTCAGTATCCGGTCGTTGTGACTCTGGTTCGTGAGATTGTACGTGTCAGTGTTTTGAGTTATTGGAATTCAAGTGACCCAGTCGTTCCATGCGTTGTAATTTGCTGTGCCGAGTTGCGTCCCTTGGGTGTATCAAAAACCTATGATTCTGGGTTCGAATCACGGTACACCCCGATTATGTTTCCAGGCTTGTCAGGACCAAACCCGTGCTCGTGGGTTTTACCAAACTGTTAAACGTGTGGGACCTGCATCACTTCAGGCTTTCCTCCACAATTTAACTGACATGTCGTGATATAACCGGAATATTGTTCAAAGCAGTGTTAAACTCAACTCACTCACTCACTCAGCATGATTTTTAAGGCCCCTTCACATCTTAAGACTACTTTACATCGTCAAATCAAGAGCGTATTTGGTTAGAAAACACTTTTTGTTTATTTTGTTTATTAGTTTTGTTTTATTCATCAAATATTGACCATTCATGAGGGCAATATCATTTTTATTGACTCAGTTGCAAGAAACTAATACTGACAGAGGGCAGCGACCGGATATCACACGCTCACTATTGGGATTCAATATCAGTTATCGTCTTACAGGTATTCGGTGTGAGACGTGTGTTGCCTCGAACTCCGCCGGCCATGCGAGGCACTTTGACTGCGACACCGGGTGCTGCGGAGAAGGGGAAGATGCGGACTGCTGTATGAGGTAAACTGCGGCATGGTATCTCAGCGGCCTTGCACTATACAACCGTCACGAGTCCGGACTAGTACAAGCAGCCACACACACACACACACACACACACACACGCACGCACGCACGCACGCACGCACGCACGCACACACACACGCACACACACACACACACACACTGCAAAGTGAGTGAGGTGGTTTGGACACCGCTTTGAACAGTTATACACATACATCAAGCCGTGTCAGATGCATGTGGGCAGACGGCGCACAGCACGTTACGAGGATGTCAAACCGGGTATCATATTCAGGGCGAAACTCTGCAGGGTGGAATACCAAAAACGAAACAGGTCTTGGGCTTCAAAAGGTAAAATCCATTCGAACGGGAATTTTGGAGTCGCAATCGTGACTTATCTGGGATTCTAACCAACGATCACCGGTTTATGGCACAGTATGGTTTGTGGCCCCATGTGCCCATTGCTGCGTCAAGGTCACTATGGCCGGTTCCACAAAGTGGTCTCAGCGCACCGATTGTCGTAATTGTTAAAGTAAAGTTTTGGTACAGTTATAGTGCTGAGATCTTTTTGTGGAACAATAAGCTACACGTGTCTCCAATTCTAAAAGCCATGATCCGATGTAGATGATGATGATGATGATGGTGATGACCTGTTTCAATCTTGATATTCCACCCTGCAGAGTTTCGTTATTCGCCCTGATATGATGGGGCGTTCGGGTATCCTAGTGGTTCAAGCGTTCGCTCGTTACGCCGAAAACCCAGGTTCGATTCCCCACCAGGGTACAATGTGTGAAGCCCATAAGTGGTGTCCCCCGCCTTGATGTTGCTGGAATATTGCTAAAAGTGGCATAAAACCACACTCACTCAGTCACTCACTCACTCACTTCAGCATGTAAACGATGGTGTCACCGCCGTCATATAGCTGGGTGCGGCGTTAAACAACAAACAAACAAACATGGTGTCAGTTCACTGATATGAATAATAAGAGTTAATTGCTAATATTGAAATTGGTTAATCGTGAAAACCCGTTAATCCAGATGCCGTCACTCGTGAAATCATTTGCTAGAACACATCTCCGGATTAAAGGATGACGTTACAGAGTAGTATCCTTGGAATTTATGTACATCCGCCGGAAAGTTGGGTGTACGGATTAAAGGGGTTCGGATTAACGAGGTGTCCCTGTTTAAAATCCTTTGAGGTGATGTGAAATGGGGGTATAACTTCCTTTTCAACGTTATTGCATTTGTATAGAGACGTGCATTTACGCGTGCGTGCGTGCGTGCGTGCGTGTGTGCGTGCGTGCGTGCGTGGATGCGTGTGTGCGTGCGTGCGTGGGTGCGTGGGTGCGTGTGGCTGCTGTACTAAGTCCGGACTAATGCCGGTTTTATATTGCTAGCCCACTGATTTACAATATATCATGAGGCAGTTTTACATGAATACTACACCAGGACACGGTGCACTCCGAGCCACTCGTCCTTGTTTTAGCCCCTTAATGTTGAAATTGTTTGTGTGACTACTAAATGGAAACCATCTCACTAGCGTTTCCATACGAACATGTAGTTGGAATTATTTATATTAACACTGTTTCCTTGCTAATATCAAATTGGCATCGGTTTACATATCTGTCCTATAGGCGACGACAGTTCTGTCCCTTACCAATATTCCAAATCGATATATCGGTAAAATGTACATATTAGCATACTAACCGGTGCATCGGTTCCTTAACATCTAGTCAGGTATACAATGGACAATACACATACTACTTGTTTGGTTGATTGTTGTTTAACGCCGCACTCAGAGCAATACTCGAGCTTCATTATGGCGGTTTGTGAACAACATTTACAAACGTTATCAAAACAACTATGTATATAATTTTTTATTCAGAAAAAGGCTTGGACCAAATTGGTTTAGCAACGTGTACGTTACTATGATAAATAAGCAATAGAATGATAACTTCAGACCAAATTAACACTGTCCAGATACATCAGATCCGATAGTACACAAAGATTATGGAAACTTGCTAAATTACACTAAGATAATGTTTCTGACATTGCTAGGCTTGCAGGCATAGGGTCTTCCTCTGTACGGTCTGAAGAAAGTCAATGTGGAACATTTGCTAATGATGTTGTTAAACATATTTTTATGTCATGTCAAATCAACCTCACCCTGTAAATAGAATTTGTGATTTACTTGATGTTAACGTATTGTAAAAACATGAGAAGATGAAGATGGCCTATTTTTAACTCTTTTGCTTGGGGGTATCTGGGGGTTTACCTGCTCAATGTAAAACAAGTTTAGTTTCCATGTATGGCAGCAGATGATACTCACCAGGTCGCAGTTATAACAATATATATTTAGCCAGTTAAAACTGTGTTCAATCTTACTCCACGTATTTAATTATTACTATATTGTGCCAGAGAGTTAGAACTTAACTGTGCTGTCTGTCTGTCTGTCTGTCTCTTTGTTTGTCTAAGTTGATAAAAGTCACTGAAAGACGACAAACTTTAGGTCCAAGGCACAACTATAATATCTGTGTCAAATACATCACCATCGAAGAACCATTTCTTGTGTGTTTCATGTTTAGCCATCGAAACATGGGTGTATACTTTCTTTTACCCAGCACTCCATATACACATTTCACACACATTCCACTGTGAAGTCATGACACAATCATTTACATAGCTGTATATTGACATTTGACTTACTTTACTCATATTTCACAGTGGTGTCGCAATCGCTGCGATTGCATTTGGTTGCGTCGTCTTCATCTGCATCATTTTCGCCATCATCCTGGCAGTCGTGAAATATCAGAATCGGAATCAAAGGACAGTAGGCCCAGTACCCGACAACACACGGCGCCGTGACAGAACACGCTCGACTAAAGTTAAGTACTCTTGTTACGTTGTTTGTTTGTTTGTTTGTTTGTTGTTTAACGCCGCAATCAGCAATATTCCAGCTATATGACGGTGGTCTGAAAAATATTCGCGTCTGGACTGGACAATCCAGTGATTTACATCATTAGCATCGTTCCACGCAATTGGGAATACGATGACAAGTCAGCGCGCCTGACCACCCGATCCCGTTAGTCGCCTCTTACGACAAGCATAGTCGCCTTTTACGGCCAGCATGGGCTGCTGAAGACATATTCTACCCCGGATCTTGACGGGTCTGACGTTGATATGGAGAGGTATCTTTACCACCATCAGCTTCGGACATTTTTCAGAAAGATAGCGATCTGTCTTACCTCTTTTATGAAATATGAAAATTACGACATTAATTCATACATATAACAAAGTGGAAAAATATAATTTGTCTTCAGGTTTTACCCCAATATACACATGGTCCTTAAGCTGGATGTTCTGGAGAGAGTTTTGTGAGATAGTTTTAAATTGTTCGACTCCCTCTGTCACAGGGGGCACGGGTGGCCCAGTCGTCTAGTGCGCCGCAATTCGCTGTGCAGAGTTACGTCCCTTGGGCACGCCAGAAACCTATGCTCGGGGTTTCGAATCCCGGTTCGCCCCGATCATGTTTCAAGGTTTGTCAGCACCATATCCGTGCTTGTGGTGAACGTCTGAGACCTGCATCACTTAAGGCTTTCCTCCCACATTAAGCTAACATGCCGTGATATAACAGGAATACTGTTCAAATCGGCGTTGTGCCTCACTCCCTCACTCACTCACCTTTCACATAAAAACATCAATAGATGCATTGAAGCAGTGAACACCAACTACCCTAGTTTAACCCAAAAATCAGTCACCGCTCCCAACAACATTATATGGTGGTTCATCAGACGTCTTCTTCCAGAAGGGAACACGGGTGGCCCAGTCGTCTAAGGCGCCGCGATTCGCTGTGCAGAGTTGCGTCCCTTGGGCACGCCAGAAACCTATGATTGTGAGTTCGAATCCCGGTTCGCCCCGATTATGTTTCTAGGTTTGTCAGCACCATACCCGTGCTCGTGGGTTTCACCGAAGTGGTAAACGTCTGAGACCTGCATCACTTCGGGCTTTCCTTCCACATTAAGCAGACACGCCGTGATATAACTGGAATACTGTTAAAAGCGGCGATAAACCCAACTCACTCACTCACTCACTCTTCTTCCAGAATAACTAATAATGTCATCATGCTTCTACAGATCCTGCACAAAGACCCCGAGGCGAGAATCCAGGTCCCCTGGCGGCAAGACTGACACTTCACCCCCCACTGTTTCCGAGGCCAGAATTTGATAAAGACATCTCCCAACAAACCTCCCAATGAGATGACACGTGAATGTCATGTAAATCGGGATTGTATATTATATATATGGCGTCATCTTCTGTTCTTTGTGATGAAGAGCGTTTCTGCCCGATAGCTGTAATATTTCAGTTGTTATGTTTGATGTTCATGGTGTTGGTATGGGAATCGCATGTTTAACTGTGTTCCCTGCAAATTGCTTTTAAAGAGGATGGCCTAGTTGTCTGAAGTGCAGCAATTCGCTGATCAGAGTTGCGTCCCTTTGGCGTGCCAGTAACCAACGATTTTGAGTACGATTCGCCCTGGTTATGTTTCTAGGTTTGTCCTGTGCTCGTGCTCGTTGGTTTCACCAAAGTGGTGAAATCCACACCAAACACGCACAATATATACTCTGCAAAAGCAGTAAAATCGTATATATCGGACAAAGAGTTGCCGACATCAATCCAAAAATAATACCCAAAATGAATTGGTCATTTCTGCATGGATTGGGATTGATTTGTGTGGAAAGAATGGGGTACTGCAGGAATTTGGTGAAAGGTGGAAAAATCGCAAGACCACAACCCCATCAAATCCTGGCGCCGACACAAACCAACATGACATGCAAGTGCAACATCACTTGTTGGGCTATAAAAAACGTTGAGTTTCGTTTGCAAGACATCACAATCTCACAGCAAGCGAACTGCGACAATATGCCATGATTGATTGAAGCCCAACGCAACAACGCCGTCGGCCGACTGCAAACAGGAGAATCATCTCCAGCTGTAGCCAGATTTGTTTCCATGTAGCACCATACACCATTACAAGACTGTGTAGCCGTTATCAGACACATGTTACCGTTAGTCTATTGAATGATGGCTTGTGGCGGCGAATGTGGACTGCTTCTGTTAGTTTTCTTTTAGTGAAGTAAGATTAGTTTATAACATTGACTGTTACTGTGGCCAATCCTGCATAGGTGAAACATCCCGCCCCATCAACACCAGAATCAAAGAACTCAAAACTTCAACCATCAAAGCAGACAGTAAATCAGCCATCTCGGACCATATCAGCAACTGCCCCAATCACATCAATACCAGCCAATTTTAAAATGTTCAGTAATGAGTTGGCGTAAAATGCTACTTAATGATAGTTACATTTATTATGATAGGAATTACGTGTCACCAGGGGGACAATAATTTTACGGTACTTTAACCTCCTTGGCAGAGGCTTTTATAATCTGATGAAATGAGTGAGTTAGGTTTAACGCCGCTTTTAACAATATTCCAGTTATATCACGGTGTGTTAGCTTAATGTGGGAGGAAAGCCCGAAGTGATGCAGGTCTCAGACGTTTACCATTCGGTGAAACCCACGAGCACGGGTATGGTGCTGACAAACCTCGAAACATAATCGGGGCGAACCGGGATTCGAACCCACAATCATAGGTTTCTGGCATGCCCACTGGACGCAACTCTGCACAGCGAATCGCGGCGCCTTTGACGACTTGGCCACATGTGTCCCCTGATGAAATGAAGTAGGGACTAAACTGTGAAAACGGCGCATCACAAAAGGGATATGATATGAAAATTGACGAGTAATAATAGTATTTGAACTTCCATGTTGATACGACTGGCCCACTCGTCGGAGACCAGCAAGACCCTGTGCAGAGTTACTTCCCTTTGGCTTGCCAGAAACAATCGATTGTAGGTTTGAATTTAGATCCGCCCTGATTAAGATTCTTGGGCGTTAGATACTACCTTCTTTCCGTGAATTTCACCAAATTGGTGAACATCTGCAACACGTTTGGAAATTTCCCCTCCACAACTGCACTGACACGCTTCACATAACTGAAACGCAGCCCACAGCGGCGTTAAAACCAGCCCACTCCAAACGCCCCTTTTGATTGATTATTCTTCTCACTGGAGTCAGTGTTTCACAGAAGGCTGATTGTCCCGCACGATTGATTTGAGAGCTTAAAGCCGATATATCCAAACTATATTCTGCAACAGGTAGCAGATGGCTGTAGATGGTTGCAGATGGTTGGCGCACGTCACATCAGTGTGGGGGATGAGGCTCATGGTTGCCTATCTGTTTTCTAACATGGGAACAATGCAAGTGCATTGGTGATATCTACCGTCATGCCTGCAAACGTCATGCACACCATTTACATGTACAAGTGCTTTGTATTCAACAATATACCTAAATGATTTTATGCAAATTCCTATGTGTTGATCGAGGCGTGATAGGACATCATCTCTAGTAACCTCACAGGATCATATCACCAATGATAATTTACTGTTATTAATAAGACCCGTATTACTATTCCAACTGTTATGCATTTAATATGTATATGTACCATGACTAATAATTCATATTTGGCTGTTTTGAACTTTTTCCCAAAATGTGAGTGAGTGAGTTGGGTTTAACGCCGCTTTTAACAGTATTCAATTTATATCGCGGCGTGTCAGCTTAATGTGGGAGGAAAGCCCGAAGTGATGCAGGTCTCAGACGTTTACCACTTCGGTGAAACCCACGAGCACGGGTTTGGTGCTGACAAAACTAGAAACATAATTTCCCCAAAAGTACTTTTACAATCGGTACTATGTTTGTAAAATGTTGATCATTTTTTAATGTGAAGTTTAAATAATATACGGCTTTTCTACTGGACAAGAGCTCCGTCACATGACCGCGAAACGACACATTTTGACGTTCATACATGGCGTAAACTCTGACGGACTACTCCGACATTCCTGGGGCAACCCCAAGGAATTTCCTTGCACGAATAAATACAGAAGCGTTGTTTCTAACCATTTAGACAATTTAATCTTGAACTTAGCATATATTAGGATAAATGCTACAAGCTTAAGATTCAAAACACAACTATGACCCCGTATCAAATACATAGTCATCCAATTATCAGTTCTTGTTTGTTCCACTTTTAGCCACCATCAAACATGGGTGTGTGCTGGGTATCGTTTGCAGCTCACGATAAACACTTTTAATTCTCAGTGTGTCAAGCATGCTGGACCCGTGTTTCGATTACCATTTGATCTTTCCTTATCCACAATCAAAAGCTCGAGAGCGTAACATTCGATCTTGAGCTTTTGACATTTCATCCTTCACAATTTGAATTAAACACTTGCGTTACAAGACAAGATGATCTTTCGAGATTTCTAGTTTTAAATAAGCTACTGTCAACACGCAAATATTGTTGTGTCAGCGTTTCGTCTTTGTGACTAACAGGATGAGTGGTTGGTTTGTCACCCCATGGAAAACGTTTCCAGTTGTTTCGAGGATACATGTTTTCCAATCTTGGTATTATTGCTGCTGTGCCGATCAAGCTACGAAACTTTGGGATTATGTGATTAGATCTAGATGAAGACACAATGACATTTAGAAAGTGGTCAAATATAACAAATGTTATATTTTGGATAACGCTTCCTTAGTGATACTATCATTTTTTTTATGGTTTAGATGTGTGTGTGTGTGTGTGTGTGTGTGTGTGTGTGTGTGTGTGTGTGTGTGTGTGTGTGTGTGTGCTGCTTGTACAAGTCCGGACTGATGTCGATTTTTAGTGCTAGCCCACTGAGATACCATGCCGCAGTTTAACATGAATTCCCCACTCAGACACAGTATACTGACTCCGAGCCACCAGTCCTAGTTTAAGCCCATTTTAGCCCCCGACCTTCCTCTCTCCGGGCGGATGCTTGGCCACTCAAACACTCGACCACTCAAACAGTCAAACACTCAAACAGTCAAACACTCGACCACTCACACAAACACTCGACCACTCAAACAGTCTAACACTCGACCACTCAAACAGTCAAACAGTCGAACAGTCGAACACTCGACCACTCAAACACTCGACCACTCAAACACTTAAACAGTCCCCGACCTTCCTCTCTCCGGGCGGATGCTTGACCACTCATAACCACAGTCAAACACTCGACCACTCAAACAAACACTCGACCACTCAAACACTCAAACACTCGACCACTCGACCACTCACTACTTTTATCCCGCCGCTGTGTTGCTGCAATATGGATGTTTTACTAATAATGAGTTGAGTTAGCATGTTAATTATTTGACAACCTACATTGTACATGTAGGCGATTCTGTTTGCAAGGCATCAATACATCGACTGTCATCAGTTACTGCCGTGCGTTCACTGAAGCATCTCAGACCATTTAGAATTTGATGTGTGACATACGAACATCCTTTTGAAATTTAACTTAGCATACTCATTAAACAGAAAACGTGCAGTCTATTTAAAAGCATTTAAAAATCCCTTATTTAGATATTAAAATTTTATATTCAGACATTAATGTTCGACTTTACCTGTACAAATTAAAAAATTGTTAAACGATATTTTCCGGTTCTATCTGCAATTCAGCAGGAAAAAAACAAAAATCAACATACAGATTTACAGTCAAAATGTGATATATGACTTTATTGTTCCTTTTAATTGCCTTTGTGTTAGTGTTGTATCTTATCAAATGTCATATCAAGTGCATTCTTGTTTCATCATCATTAGGCTTATGTTTGTAACAAGATAAAATATTACATTTGCTGAGGGGTTTGTTTTATCGCTGAATCATACAACTACACTTTAATTTTCCAATAACAAGCACATGTCACCTGTTCATATCTACACGCGTGTTCTATAAAAGGACATAAGTAATAGTGTCGACGATGTCGTGGAATACAGTGATGAAGTTAACTGTGCTGTTGCTGCTGCTGCTTACCGTTGTTATGGTCGACGGTGGGGGTTCATGTGAGTGTTAAACAATTACTTGTGTCTTGATTGTGTAATTGTCTTATCGTGCATGACACATCTAAAGAGAGAGGAAGTAGAATAATGTATATGTCAATAAGATTCTGCGGACACTTATGTTTGTGCAGATGAACACTTGACTTCCTTTTGCTTTGCCAAAAGACTCTCCACAAGAATGTGTGACCAAAGGGATGACTTTCCCTTCACGTCGAGCAATGTTCCAGCAGCTTCATCCTTTGGTGTTTACATTTCGCAACTTTTGAGAAGCAATCGAACATGCTCTTTCTACCAAGATTGTAAAGAGAGTCATACGACACCTTCTCAGAAGTTGTTTGGATCAAGGTTCAACATTCAAGATCTCAGTAAATCTTTCAAAAAGTTTTATGGTAGAAATGTGGAGGATATTTCCAAATTTGTCGCATCATTGACAAAAATGATGTCCGATGCAATTCCTTATTTTAACTTGTACCATATGTTCCCATGTTGTTTTAGGTGAACACCAGGTCAGAATATGTAATGCTTGTCGTAAGACACGACTCAATATGATAGTGAATGAGTGAGTGAGTTGGTTTTAACGCCGCTTTTAGCAGTGTTATCAGTTATAATGTATCAGGAACGAAAACGTTGATGTGATTCTGTATTTATTTCTAGACATTGGTACTTGGCTTTCGCGTTACAGCCCGTAAATATCCGGGGTAGAATAGGTCTTCAGCAACCCATGCTTGTCGTAAAAGGCGACTAACGGGATCGGGTGGTCAGGCTCAGTGACTTGGTTGATGTATCCCAGCGTATCCCAATATCGTGGATCGATGCTCATCATGTCAATCACTGGATTGTCGGGTCCAGACTCGATTATTTACAGACCGCCGTCATATAGCTGGAATATTGCTGAGTGCGGCGTTAAACAACAAACCAACCAACCAACTAAAGTTATATGTGTGTGTAAATATTGTTAGTTTATCAGAATATATACTCTTAAAAAAAGAAACTTGACATAGATGTAAAACCACTTTGTGCCAAATATCTAAAATAATTACGTTAAATGAGAACCAAATAAGTCAAGCAGAAAGATTATGTGTCTATAATTCGCGAAAACACATGCAAAGCACATACACGTAGCGTTTGGGGATCAATTTTACAGCTTTATCCAAACGCAACCGCCCTTAAAATACGTGCAGCACAGGCAGCTGCATTAAGGTAAACAGGCCCCCCCTGCTGAATGGGTATAAAACTCCACATCAACGTCTGTCGAAACAGTCCTTATAACGGCAGTAGAGGCGGTGACAGAATGCCAAGACTGAATGCAGCTCAACGGAACAACGCCATTCGGAGATTACAAGCTGGAGCAACTCAGTAAGAAGTGGCCATGCACTTTGGCGTATCCAGAGAGACAATCTCCGCACTGTGGACCCGATACAACAACACCAACAGAGTTGACGACAGACCAAGGTCAGGAAGACCAAGGGTGACAACCCAAGCACAAGACTGATACATCCGGCTGCGACACCCCTGAGACCGCAATACCAAAGCCACGTCTACAACCACACAGATCCCTGGGGTACGCAGAATATCATATGAAACGGTACGCAACAGACTGAGGGAGGCTGGACTTTTTGCACGAAGATCTGTTCGACGTCATGTATTGACCCCACATCATCTGGCGGACCGTCTGCTTTGGTGCCAACAGAAGGTTAGATGAGCACGTGCAAGGTGGAGAAATGTATTGTTTACTGACGAGTCCCATTCCTTCCTCACACGTGCTGATGGGCGCGCACGTGTCTACAGACGTAGGGGTAAACGTTACGCCCCCAACTGTGTGCAGCAGGTTGTCCCATTTGGCGGCGGGAGCGTCATGGTATGGGCCGGAATTTATCACGGTGGTAGGACGCCTCTCGTGCATGTGGCAGGTGCATTGACAGGTGTGCGTTACAGAGACTTGATCCTACAGCTTTACGTTCTTCCTCACGTCAACGTTCATGGCGGACATTTCCAGCAGGATAACGCTCGACCGCATATTGCACGTGTTTGTCAGGACTTCTTACAGCACAACAAAATCCAGACATTACCTTAGCCAGCCCGGTCACCAGATTTGTCCCCGATTGAGCATCTGTGGGACGAGTTTGATCGCCGCGTTCGCAGAAGGAATCCACCGCCCCAAACACTTCCGTCGCTTCTTGATGCACTTCAGCCTGAAAGGCAGCACATCAAACAGCGTGTTACTGACAACTTGATTGCATCTATGGGTCGTCGGTGTCAAGCGGTGATTGATGCACGTGGTGGGCACAACTGATACTGACATTGTCTGTACCCCTGTGACATTAACTGTATCGTGTACTTGTGTCTGTCTAGGAGACACGATTAATGTTTTGAACATTGTGTACATTGATCTTCAAACAGTGTTTCAGTTATGGTTTCTGTGTCCTATTTTGAAACAATCGCATTATATTACATTTTGAAAGTCAGTGTCAAGTTCCTTTTTTTTGAAGAATATTAATTGTAAACAACTTCGTTAGACAGTCCTCTTATTTCATAAAAAAAACAGTAAGTAAGTAAGACAATTGAACTATCCACATGATGTTACATTCCTAATATAAGCTGACGGTCCTGTTTGTGAACATATGCAATTGACATAATATTTCAAGAAAAAAATAATCAATTGGAAGACCTTGGAAGTCTTGGTATCATCTGTTGATGGTTATGATCTGAAATGTTATAACGTTAGATTACGAAGGCGAAACATTTAAGTGTTAATGATACACGAGATTTGGGAACACTGACATGACTAATATGATTAAGCAACATAAACACGTATAAACGGGTCTAGAGAATGTAATAAAACAATATTGTACTCAACAACAAGCGGTTCCCCAGAATAACACAAACTTGCGAATAGCAAGTGTTTTTCATGCTTTGTGTATGTTTCCATATAAACATTACAAATTCAGGTACACCACCTGTGTGTAGTAGCATGAAGCTGTATACTGAGATGACAAATAGTACCTGCATTCACACACGGAAGCAATATAAGTCTTGTGTGTATGCCCTTTCCTCTGAAAAATGTAACACTAAAGTATTTAGAATTGTAGTAAATATAGTTGGTTTACTCAACGTTACTTGTGGTGTCTCCGATAGATATGATTTTCGGTTCATCGATAGATTAATGGGGATTACACTGATACTAAAATATGGCTGGTTTTTTTTGTATCGGATATGAACAGAGGATTCGTCTAGTCATACATTTTACGATACTTACTTCACTGTGTCTCAGACCACAGAACGGATATCATCAAAACATGTAATTAGTACACAGAGAATTGTTACATACTATTTCCTGTACATTTCTGCTTGAACAAAGAGCCTACATTTGAATAACGGGAATTAAAATGAAATTCGTTTCATTATCATATTTAACAAACCTACGTGTAGTTTGCCTAATGCAAAAACTTATACACCCGTTCTTCATTTCGTTCCAACACGTGGACCATTCAACTCGCTCGCAAAGGTCGAAGGATATATAAAGTTAGATTACGAAATGTAACTCTGCAAGATGACAGACGTAATCCTTCTTTGTACAATGCTCTATGATTTATTCTCGTTCAATCTATTGTACATAACATTGGAAGTCGTTGTAAAGTTTCAAGGGGTACTGTAAGGGTGTGGTATTATGAACATATAGGATGTACATGTATAACTTGTCTTGTAACTACTCAGAAGTTTTACAAATATTCTGCGTAGTCCCCGCGTAGCTGCGCAAACGTTTATAGACATTCTGCGGAAATTTGGCGAAATAAAGTGAAAGGCGTTGTAGTGTATGTACATTAGTTGTGTTGGTTTACTGATGCCTGAAATGAAGACAAATTGACACAGCAGATATGCTGGTGTAGTAATTTACCGAGATCCCAATGATACTGTAGGCACACTGGTACTGTAGGCAAACTGGTACTGTGGGCACACCGGTACTGTAGGCACACTGGTACTGTAGGCACACTGATACTGTAGGCACACTGGTACTGTGGGCACACTGATACTGTAGGCACATTGGAACTGTGGGCAAACTGGTACTGTGGGCACAATGGTACTGTAGGCACACTGGTACTGTGGGCACACTGGTACTGTAGGCACACTGGTACTGTGGGTACACTGGTGCTGTGGGCACACTGGTGCTGTAGGCACACTGGTACTGTAGGCACACTGGTACTGTAGGCACACTGGTACTGTAGGCACACTGGTACTGTGGGCACACTGGTGCTGTGGACACACTGGTACTGTAGGCACACTGGTACTGTGGGCACACTGGTACTGTAGGCACACTGGTACAGTGGGGACACTGGTACTGTAGGCACACTGGTACTGTGGGCACACTGGTACTGTGGGCACACTGGTACAGTGGGGACACTGGTACTGTAGGCACATTGGTACTGTGGGCACACTGGAACTGTAGGCACACTGGCACTGTGGGCACACTGGAACTGTGGACAAACTGGTACTGTGGGCACACTGGTACTGTGGGCACACTGGTACTTTAGGCATATTGGTACTGTGGGCACACTGGTACTGTGGGCACACTGGTACTTTAGGCATATTGGTACTGTGGGCACACTGGTACTTTAGGCATATTGGTACTGTGGGCACACTGGTACTGTGGGCACACTGGTACTTTAGGCATATTGGTACTGTAGGCACATTGATACTGTGGGCACACTGGTAGTGTATGCAGATTGATACTGTGGGCACACTGGTATTGTAGGCATACTGGCACTGTGGGCACACTGGTACTGTAGGCACATTGGTACTGTGGGCACACTGCTATTGTGGGCACATTGGTAATGTGGGCACATTGGTACTGTAGGCACATTGGTACTGTGGGCACATGTGTACTGTAGTCACAGTGGTACTGTGGGCACTCTGTTACTGTAGGCACACTGGTGCTGTGGGCACACTGGTACTGTAGGCACACTGGTACTGTGGGCACATTGGTACTGTGGACACACTGGTACTGTAGGCACACTGGAACTGTAGGCACACTGGTACTGTAGGCACAGTGGTACTGTAGGCACACTGGTACTGTGGGCACATTGGTACTGTGGACACACTGGTACTGTAGGCACACTGGAACTGTAGGCACACTGGTACTGTAGGCACACTGGTACTGTGGGTACACTTGTACTGTGGGCACATTGGTACTGTGGCCACATTGGTACTGTGGGCACACTTGTACTATGGGCACCCTGGTACTGTAGGCACACTGGAACTGTGGGCACACTGGTACTGTGGGTACACTGGTACTGTGGGCACACTGGTACTGTGGGTACACTGGTACTGTGGGTACACTGGTACTGTGGGTACACTGGTACTGTGGGCACACTGGTACTTTAGGCATATTGGTACTGTGGGCTCACTGGTACTTTAGGCATATTGGTACTGTGGGCACACTGGTACTGTGGGCACACTGGTACTTTAGGCATATTGGAACTGTAGGCACATTGATACTGTGGGCACACTGGTAGTGTATGCACATTGGTACTGTGGGCACACTGGTACTGTGGGTAGATTGGTAGTGTGGGCACACTGGTACTGTGTGCACACTGAAACTGTGGGTACATTGGTACTGTGGTTACAATGGTACTGTAGGCACATTGGTACGGTGGGCACACTGGTACTGTAGGGACATTGGTACTGTTAACACATTGGTACTGTGAGCACACTGGTACTGTAGGCACACTGGTACTGTGGGCACATTGGTACTGTAGGCACATTGGTACTGTGGTACTGTAGCAACACAAATTCTCTACGATTTGGGGGAAATTTCGACTGTATGTGCATTTAGACTGAGGGCACATTTGGTTTTGTTTACATGACAATGTTTACATATTTGTATAATAGTTTGAATAATTGATACCTTGGCATTTTGGGACATTGATATTGTGGACATCTTGGCACTCCGGGTACATTGATAGTGTGGACACATTGGCACTCAGGGTACATTGGTATTGTGGACACATGGGCACTAAGGGTACATTGATATTGTGGACATCTTGGCACTCCGGGTACATTGGTATTGTGGACACCTTGGCACTCCGGGTACATTGGTATTGTGGACACCTTGGCACTCCGGCTACATTGATAGTGTGGACACATTGGCACTCCGGGTACATTGATATTGTGGACACCTTGGCGCTCCGGGTACATTGATAGTGTGGACACATTGGCACTCCGGGTACATTGGTATTGTGGACACCTTGGCACTCTGGGTACATTGATAGTGTGGACACATTGGCACTCCGGGTACATTGGTATTGTGGACATCTTGGCACTACGGGTACATTGATAGTGTGGACATCTTGACACTCCGGGTACATTGATATTGTGGACACATTGGCACTCCGGGTACATTGGTATTGTGGACATCTTGACACTCCGGGTACATTGGTATTGTGGACATCTTGGCACTCCGGGTACATTGGTATTGTGGACATATTGGCACTCCGTGTACATTGGTATTGTGGACACCTTGGCACTCCGGGTGCATTGGTAGTGGACATCTTGGGACTACGGGTACATTGGTATTGTAGACATCTTGGCACTCCGGGTACATTGGTATTGTGGACATCTTGGCACTCCGGCTACATTTGTATTGTGGACACCTTGGCACTCCGGGTACATTGATATTGTGGACACCTTGGCACTCCGGGTACATTGATAGTGTGGACACACAGGCTCTTTGGGTAGATTGATATTGTGAACATCGAGATACTCTAGGCAGATTCGGACTGTGGACACCATGTTTTCATCTTTTAGTTTGGGAATTGTGTTTAATTAAAGAAATACTCTATGTAGAACAATAAGAATATAATTAAAAGAAAATCATATTCAAGTGTTTCAGATATTTCTTTTCTTCTTTGCAGCCTCGTCGTCCACGGACCATACCTTCGTGGTGAAATCGGTAAGTGTCGAGGGATTAATAATTAACCATACATCTACAAGTATTTATTTCAAATTAAATAATTAATTTTACACCAATGATTTTGTTTCCAAGATGAGAGATGTATGTCTATCTATTCTGGTTATGTTTGTTGTTGGTTAACGCGGGGAGTGAGGACCTGTTCCTATAAGATATGTCTCGTGGACAATAAAAAATACTTCAATTCCTCAGTATACAGGTACTTGACCTACGGATTTATTTCCTCCTATCAATACAAAGGTACTTGATCTAAGTTAGATAATACTGAGAAAAGTAGTTAGTCACGCATTACAAGAAAAAGAGGAAATACTATCAAAATATGATACCCTAACCGATGTGCTCAGCACAGTAACACCTAAAGTAAGTCAGTATCAAACTGCCCACAATTACCTACTTGCGAAACGTTCGATTGATCATACAGTAGCAGTGCGACTCGTCACGGTCCAACGATTCCAGTTGGTTACCACACACGGTAGCGCTGAGTGTGATGTGCGGACTTCGGAGAAAGCAATGAGCTCTTGTTGTTCCTGATCATTATAAAGCCTCTTGAGCGAACAGAGGTGTGCTTTCTAAAAAAGGGAAAACACTAAAATAGGAAACTAACTACTGAACAAATCTGGGAGATATATACTGAACAACAAAAGTTCCTGTGACATTGTATAAGATTTATTGCAAAGTTATGTTTTTTACCAAATCTGAAACAATAGCGTCTGTGTCCACCTCTGGTTGCTATGCAAGCAACACATTTTCGTCTCATGGATGCACCAGGCGTCGCACAAAGTCCTGTGGGATATCTGTCCATGCTGGAGTATGTTTCGAAGTTTCTGGAGTGTCTCTCATCCCACATGTGCTCGATTGGTGAGAGATGAGGGGAGCGAGCCGGCCAGGGGATGACATTTACGTTGCTTTGTTGAAGAGATTCCTGAACAAGTCGAGCAATATGAGGCCGGGCGTTGTCATGTTGAAAAGTAATGCTTGGGCCATGACGACGCAAAAACGGTAGAACAACAGGGCCGATGATCTCGTCGCGGTAGCGCTGTCCATTGAGATTTCCCTCTACCACTATCAAACGGGTCCTCTGTCTTGCTGTAATCCCACCCCATACCATAACGCTGCCGTCCCCAAACCGATCTTCTTCCATGACACAATGATTGTGTCGAATCCGTCCATCGCTGTGGCTGAGGTGAAAACGAGATTTGTCAGTGAATAGAACTTGTCCCCACTGCATGGCCGTCCAGCGTAGACGCTGTCTGCAACACTGTAGACGTGCTTGACTTTGGTTTCCTGTCAATATGGGACGTCTGGCGGGTCTTCTGGCGACAATCCCTGCACATCTGAGGCGACGATGTACGGTTTGTGAAGATATTCGTCGAAGTCCAGGGCTGTTTCTTGCAGTCACTGTTGCTGGCTGGAATCGATTTCGTAGGTGTGTTGTTCGAATCCAGTTGTCTTGTCGATTATTGGTTACGCGTGGCCTGCCACTCCGAGGATGGTCTCTGACTGCATTCGTCTGTTGCCAACGTTGCCATAAACACAAAATGGTGTTTCTGTGGACGTTAAATTGTCTTGCAACATCACGTTGACTCGATCCTGCTTCAAGCATACCAATGGCTCGCAGACGCTCATCTTCGGACAGGCGTGGCATTTCGTAATGTTGAATAATTGCGTAATTTTGTTATTTTTCTGAGTGGTTGTTTTCAGCACGATGCTAAACAATACATATGGAATCCCGTTAACGCACACCTTTTATACCCATTCTTGGTTAGTGAAATGCATGGGGCTTGCATAAAAGTCAACTTTTGCATGGAATGCATGCTTTTCTGTAGCAGTTGCGTTTTTGTGACTTAATTCCATACATGTTCTTCAATATTGAAAACCAAACTGTATTGTTTGAAAAATACTCTAAAATAGTGGTGTCAACTTTTGTTGTTGAGTATGTGTATGAAAATAGAGAACTGAATATAAGCCACCCAATGGTATCATTAAATATATACAACCAAATACTAGTATGTACAATTAGAAAGGTGGCAAAAATGGATGTAAATACATGAGGAACATTAGATAATTCCGCTTCGGCGTGACAACAAAAGTTACTAAAACGCTTTGGACATGTGAATATGCTTGTAAAACATGAGAGATACGATATATCAAATTAACACATGATGAGAGCGTAAGATGAAACTGCATAAGAATGGTATTATAGACAACAAATTCTCTAGTGAAAGCTGGGCGGTCGGGTAGCCTAGTGGTTAAAGCGTTCGATCGTCACGCCGAAGACCCGGGTTCGATTCCCGACATGGGTACAATGTGTGAAGCCCATCTCTGGTGTCCCCCGCCGTGATATTGCTGGAATATTGCTAAAAGTGGCGTAAAACCATACTCACTCACTCACTCTAGTGAAAGCTAATGAACACAAAGTCACAGAAATGAAGCAATGAAGCAATGAAGCAAACCGCTGTACAGAGATGAGTGGGGACCGTGACGAGCTGGATTGTACAACACATTGATACTAGGTTCCTGTGATGTTAAAAGGTTTTATTACATACTTCAGTGGGAAAGACTGATTTTTTCGAAGTTGAGAAAAAGTGATATTTTCATTTCAGTGAACAAAACACTTGATATTTCACTGCAGTAAACATAACACTTGATATTTTACTGCAGTGAACATAACACTTGATATTTCACTGCAGTGAACATAACACTTGATATTTCACTGCAGTGAACATAACACTTGATATTTTACTGCAGTGAACATAACACTTGGTATTTTACTGCAGTGAACATAACACTTGATATTTTACTGCAGTGAACATAACACTTGATATTTTACTGCAGTGAACATAACACTTGATATTTTACTGCAGTGAACATAACACTTGATATTTTACTGCAGTGAACATAACACTTGATATTTCACTGCAGTGAACATAACACTTGATATTTTACTGCAGTGAACATAACACTTGATATTTTACTGCAGTGAAAATAACACTTGATATTTTACTGCAGTAAACATCACACTTGATATTTCACTGCAGTGAACATAACACTTGATATTTTACTGCAGTGAACATAACACTTGATATTTTACTGCAGTGAAAATAACACTTGATATTTCACTGCAGTGAACATAACACCTGATATTTTACTGCAGTGAACATAACACTTGATATTTTACTGCAGTGAACATAACACTTGATATTTCACTGCAGTGAACATAACACTTGATATTTTACTGCAGTGAACATAACACTTGATATTTTACTGCAGTAAACATAACACTTGATATTTTACTGCAGTGAACATAACACTTGATATTTCACTGCAGTAAACATAACACTTGATATTTCACTGCAGTGAACATAACACTTGATATTTTACTGCAGTGAACATAACACTTGATATTTTACTGCAGTGAACATAACACTTGACATTTCACTGCAGTGAACATAACACTTGATATTTTACTGCAGTAAACATAACACTTGATATTTTACTGCAGTAAACATAACACTTGATATTTTACTGCAGTAAACATAACACTTGATATTTTACTGCAGTAAACATAACACTTGATATTTTACTGCAGTAAACATAACACTTGATATTTTACTGCAGTGAACATAACACTTGATATTTTACTGCAGTGAACACAACACTTGATATTTTACTGCAGTAAACATAACACTTGATATTTTACTGTAGTAAACATAACACTTGATATTTTACTGCAGTGAACACAACACTTGATATTTTACTGCAGTGAACATAACACTTGATATTTTACTGCAGTGAACATAACACTTTTTCTCAACTTCGTTAAACTCAGTCTTTCCCACTGAAGTATGTAATAAAACTGTATTTTTTCTCATTTAACTCGTCAATCGAGACAGTTCGTTTTTGTAAAACGGCATTTTGGTTACTTGACCAGCGTGTATTCTTTCGCTCCCAACTTTGCAAACACGAAACTACTTTTTAGGACACAAATACAAGGAGTGGTGAACCGCCCCTGTGTGTTAGGTAGGGAGAATTTACGTTTTACATTTGTAACGAAATAATTTAATTTTCTGGTAGACAACTACACAAAAAGTATATAATAAATAGGATATTCCATGTGTCAAGTGAAATATCATGTTTCTTTCTTCTCGTGAGGAGGAAAAGGAGATATTGTTACTCGTGGCTATGCCACTCGTGAAATATCCTCTATAACTTCATTTATTCACCAAAACCTCATACAAATCATTCCTGTTGACATATGTACTGAGCCAACCTATTATAAATTACATGAAATTTATAACAAAGACTGCAAATAGTAGTATAAATTATGGGGGTACTGGACCACCCCATCTGGACAGGGTCCAGCTCCTGAAAATGCTTACATGGGGGTCTTAAGTTTTATTAATTAATTATAAATAAACAAGAGGTCAACCTGATGAACTTCATTAGTTAGACATATCAAACGTTTTCCTTGGTATGTACGGTGGGGCTGGTAAGTATAAATTGCTTGTTTTTTTATGCAATTCTTAGCAACATCTTTAGATACCTTAGCCACTGCAGCTAGTTTGTATTGCCCCTTTACCTTTCCAAAACCCTCAATGGGATATAGTAAATTGTATTTATTATTAATTAATATTGATTTTCTTTTACTACAATGAAATATTTCCATTTAGATAAATGTTCACACAGATGTATAACAATGAACAATTGCAAGCCAACAAAGAACTTGGGAAAGCTGCTGCGGCATTTATGTGCCACACCAAATCTAGCAATTGGCGAGAATTACTGCAAGGCGTATATGTTATCACGAATGCAAAACCATCCAAAAACAGTCATCAATTGTGTATGAGTAACAATAACAGAGAATACTTTCATTATTATGTAGTTTAAAGGTTTCCTCAATATAAGGTGAATCATTGGATCGTTATCAAATAATTAAAGAAACTTTAGACCCCAATGTAAGCATTTTCAAGAACTTGACCCTGTCGAGGTGGGGGTGGTCAAGTACCCACATCATCTATACTTCTCAAATTAGGCCACCATTCCCCGCAGTTCTGCGGAATCTCTTAAATTCTTTAATATGTATTTTCGCACACCACAGGACTGCGACCCGGCCTACCTCGCCATTCACGTTAACTACACTCTATGTCTGGTGGACAGAGGGACGGATGCCCCACTGTCAGCCGAGGACAAACAAGCCATTGTGGACGAGCACAACACATACAGAAGTAACGTGTCACCTACTGCCACCAATATGGTCAAACTGGTGAGTAGTTAGAACACTCTTTGTAAGGTCGTGTAAGGTCATCAGGCTGCCGTGGTATGGCAACATTCGCCCACTTACTCGAATGCAGAAACCTAATAATGGTTATTATTGTCCTCCTTAACTTTTTAAAATTATTATTATTATTAAAGAGATTACAATAAATAAATGCAGCACAGAGGTTTAGGCTGGTTAGGCTACTGGTAGCAAACCCGGGTACTCTCCCAATGCCAGTCAACAGATTGGGAGGTACCAAACCTAAGGCACCGAGAACAATGGCCAGGCGGACAACTTGGTACTTGCGAGGTTCGCATGTTTGCCATGTTTTTCCTGAATGTTGTCAATCACATAAGTGTCAAACGGGACATAGAATTCAATGATAAAAATGATTTCATTGGATTTATCAAAAAGTACCAGATCAGGTTTTTTGGCCTGGATAGTTCTGAGGCTTTGTACTTGCCTGTTCCAAAGAATTTTGCATTAATCATTTTCGATGACGCCCTCAACATAATCTGAGTCCTACCATGGGTGGACCTCTGTGTCAAAACCACAAGCATGGCGAAGACGGCAATAAAAGGACCGAGCCACTCCAGCTTAATATACTGTGTTTGTGCCAAAGCTGGGCATCCACTGCCAATGTGCTTGGCAGTCTCATCGAATTCTTTGCATAATCTTCATTTCATTATTACATTTTAATGCAAAATCTCACATTGACGGTTTCGAGTAGGAAGTGACTTGTCCTGAGCAGCAAACTAGGTAATGTCAAGTATTTGTATCGAGCCCGACCATTTGATCCAGTTTGTCGCCACTCGCGACAAGCATGGTCGCCTCTTACGACAAGCATTGGTTGCTGAAGGCCAATTCTAACCCGGTTCTTGGTGGAACAAGTGTGAAGTTACATGTGATTGAGTGATAACATACCTACCATGCTGGTGCTGTCCCGGCCTCATTGGTCTAAAGCGTTGCCGGGGAGCATCATTCTGCAAGATGTAAAAGATATTACTTTTTGTTATCCTTCATTGTGCTCGGCATTAAGGGGACAAAACAAGGACTGATCGGCTGGGTGTCAGTATACTGTCTGAGTGGGGCATCCATGTTAAACTGCAGCATGGTATCTCAGTGGGCTAGCACTATAAAACCAACATTAGTCCAGACGAGTACTAGCAGCCACATACACACAAACACACACACACGCGCGCGCACACCACACACAAACACACACACACACACACACAAACACACACACACAAACACACGTGCATGCAAGTCGCTATATATGTGCGATTATCTTCTACGCAACGTTAATCCTCACTTCGAGTCCGATACCGGTTTATACTTTTTTCTGTAAGTATATCAATCATTGTCTCATTCAGTCGCTTACCGTTCTTCATAAATGTAAAAACTGAACTAACTATTCCATAAGTAATGCTTAATGAGTAGAGAGAGAAAGCTGAGTTTCCGTTTGAAGATATTGATTCCATGTCATTATGTCATCTATAATACACCTCCAGTGACGCCATGCTATGGTTGTCCTTTGGGAATGTTTCACTATCTCTAGAATTGAATAACACACACGCACGCACGCACACACGCACACACACGCACACACACCCACTCGTTCACCAATAATATTTGGGATTCTTTCATATCATTCATGGGGGCACGGGTGGCCCAGTCGTCTAAGGCGCCGCGATTCGCTGTGCAGAGTTGCGTCCCTTGGGCATGCCAGAAACCTATGATTGTGGGTTCGAATCCCGGTTGGCCCCAGTTATGTTTCTAGGTTTGTCAGCACCAGACCCGTGCTCATGGGTTTCGCCGAAGTGGTAAATGTCGGAGACCTGCATCACTTCGAGCTTTCCTCCCACATTAAGCTGACACGCCGTGATATAACTGGAATATTGTTCAAAGCGGCGTTAAACCCAACTCACTCACTCACTCAAATCATTCATACAATGGTGCCACGTGAAAGGGATGAAGGATGTTGATATATGTAATTCCTGTAACGATTCTAAAGAACACTCGTGTTGCAGGTGTGGGATGACGACATAGCAGAATATGCAGCCAAATGGGCTCGACAGTGCTACGCTGGCCATGACGAATATGCGGCAAGATCCCTTCCAAGTGAGTTAATGATTATATATAACACATCTACTGATCAAAATATGATTCAGTGAGTACATGGGTCATTCTCCTTTTTGCAACGTTTGTCATATTGTAGTTCAGAAATTTGTTGAAGTTCAATACCACTGCTCAACATTCTTGTGAACGACCACGCCTTCATACAAACTCGATTTTTATGTTTTGGCTGTTGACAAAACATGTTTGTACTAAAAAAATGGGACAAAATAATTTGTCATCTAGTGTTACACGCACAGAAATATTTAGCTGTGCGTGTAGGATGACGTGAAAAATATATTGTGAAAAAATAATTGTTCAGTTCCCCCTTTAACAAACGAAAAATGCGTATTTTGAAGCAGTGACCGTAAACTTATCCTGTCCCAACGACAAAATCAATATTTCTCTCCCTCTCCAGCTTCCCGAGGCGAGCGTGTCCACTAGCCTAAAACAAAGTCTGTACTAACATATGAGTGGAATATCGCACAAGTCAAAAGTCCAATCATAGAACGTTTCACAAATTCCGAAAACGTGGTTGCATTGATCACAATTCACGGACATGTGTCTCGCCCCCCATTCATATTTAAAGAGGGTCGCACTGTGCTTACTAGGCATGCCTGGAGTGAGCATCGGCCAGAATGTAGCTGCCAACCACATCTCGCTCGTGGAGGCGGTAGATGCATGGCATTCTGAAGTTGACTTCTTCGAATATGGGATCGGCCAAACTGACGTGGAAAAAACAATCGGCCACTACACCCAGGTGAGGAGACGTTAAACGATAGCACTTGTTGTTACCCTGCCTGGCGCTCGGCCTTAAGGGGATACAACAAGGACTGGTCGGCTCTAAATAAACAGTGTATCAGAGATCAGACAGATGTTAAACTGTGGCAGTTGTCTTCCAATATAAAACGGGCATTAGTCCGGGCTAGTACATACACACACACACGCACGCACGCACGCACGCACGCACGCACGCACGCACGCACGCACGCACGCACGCACGCACACACACACACACACACGTGTATGCACGTCGATACGTTAGTGCAATAACCTTGAACACAACGTTATACCCGATTTCACCCCACCTGAAAGGGGGGGCACGGGTGGCCCAGTCGTCTAAGGCGCCGCGATTCGCTGTGCAGAGTTGCGTCCCTTGGGCACGCCAGAAACCTATGATTGTGGGTTCGAATCCCGGTTCGCCCCGATTATGTTTCTAGGTTTGTCAGGACCATACCCGTGCTCGTGGGTTTCACCGAAGTGGTAAACGTCTGAGACCTGCATCACTACGAGCTTTCCTCCCACATTAAGCTGACACGCCGCGATATAACTGGAATACTGTTAAAAGCGGCGTTAAACCCAACTCACTCACTCACTCACCTGAAAGGACATTCATATAATTTATTATATGTTGATATCTTTCAAATCATCGATGCAGTAGTGCCACAAGAAAAGTAACATGATGGTCAGGTTGGTGTTGCTGTTATTTTATTCAAATCACATCGAAAACTATAGTTGGTTTTTTCTTTAAAAATCTGTCATACGATCCAAACTCTAAGGACACGGTTGTATTTTGACGGCGTGTTCCTATCTGTTCGCAAAACGGGAAAGCATGTCCGGTCCTACCGGTAGAGTGAGTGAGTATGGTTTTACGCCGCTTTCAGCAATATTCCAGCAATATCACGGCGGAGGACACCAGAAATGGGCTTCACACATTGTACCCATGTCGGGAATCGAACTCGGGTCTTCGGCGTGACGAGCGAACGCTTTAACCACTAGGCTACCCGATCGGTAGAGCAGACTGATGTAGGTCGAAACGTCTCGTGGGTAGTACTCATCACCAACTCCAAACTAAAATGACATGTACGAATATTTTATCATTGTAAGGTTGTTGGGTACAGAGCCATCCGAATTGGATGCGGACAAGCCACCTGTTCAAACAACAAATATAGTCGTTATCAAGTGTGCAACTACGCGATCGGGTAAGTGATTTCCCCTAAAATTGTTGTCAGATTAATTATTAATATCTAAATCGTGACGGATGTCTTAACTGCAGCACATTGGCTTCCATGTTTCTTTACCAAACATGCCAAGCCCTGAAGGTTTTGACGTTCAATAGTTATTTCCCAGATTGGCTTCAAGGTACTATACCATACACCTATACCATCCAATTTATTAAAGTCGACAATCTATTATAATAAATACACTGGACAGATCCGCTTTAATGCTTTGTTTCAAGCCCGATTCGGAAGAATAAAAGCTCATAGTGAGCCGTCCAGTCTTAATCGTTCTTCGTCCGTGCAGGCAAAGAACCCGAGACCTCAAGTTCCCATACCAGAACGGGACGTCCTGCAGTGAATGTCCCGCCGACAAGTGCTTCGACAACCTGTGTGGTGCGTGCGTAGTATAAAATTTCAAAATAACCTGAGTGAGCAAAAGAAACTATACCTCTCAGTGGATATTATCATATGTATGATTTTCATTCGAATATATCTTCCGTTGGCGATGATATACCCAAACAATCACTCAGACAACACTTCCACATTGTTTCTTTAGACAAAATTTGAAGAAATAATTTTGATAAATTCAAAATCATAATTTCGCATAATACACAACGGTTGATGTACATCATATCTTCGGAAATCAATAAATTGGAGACTTTCAGCACAAACATGGGTGGGGACATGTGATTGCGAATTTGTTTCTTACTCCAGTCTTCATTGAACCAATTTATTTTTACAAAAAACTACCCAGACACCAATTCCTTTTCACAAACTGTTCCAGGATTGACTGATGGTCAAATATATAGACATAATAACATTTAACAATTCTTTCTATTTTTAATTACATAAAAAAAAACAATTGGAGTGATTTCTATTGCTCCTCAGTTTATATACATTTTCTCATTGTTTTTAAGATAGAGCCATACATTTTGGGATTACAAAATGGTGTACAGTTATCGTTTTAATGTCATCATGTAATAATCATATAAAGTATTTTTGATTGATGTATGTGAAATAGCAAATGATAGATCGCTCAGCTGTTTCTTGATTGACCTTTTACCTTTTTTGTGGCTTGAGTTCATTTCCAAGAATATATATTTTAAGCTGATTTTGGAACCCCCATTGCAATATTTGTGTATTTGGAGTTGGGTGTTATGTCGAATTTAACGGTATTCCAGTCATATGGCTGCGTGTGAACATAGGCTTGCAAAGAGCAGTAGTGTATGGGTACGTCCCACGCATGATGCTGGAGCCTCCAGCGGCTGAGCCAGTGGGCCCGGAAATAGATCAGTTGGACTTTTCCAACAGCCGGTGTCGGAGGCCAAACTAAATCCCCGGTTCCACCTGTTAAGATCCGGTTCCACCTATTAAGATCCGGTTCCACCTGTAAAGATCCGGTTCCACCTGTTAAGATCCAGTTCCAAATGTTAAGATCCGGTTCCACATGTTAAGATCCGGTTCCATCTGTAACGATCCGATTCCACCTGTAAAGATCCGGTTCCACCTGTTAAGATCCGGTTCCACCCGTTAAGATCCGGTTCCACCTGTAAAGATCCGGTTCCACCCGTTAAGATCCGGTTCCACCCGTTAAGATCCGGTTCCACCTGTTAAGATCCGGTTCCACCTGTAAAGATCCGGTTCCACCTGTTAAGATCCGGTTCCACCTGTAAAGACCAGGTTCGGAATAGGTCTTCAGCAACATTGTAGCAATAGGCGAATATGCTTGTCGTCAGAAGCAACTAACGGGATCGGGTGGTCAGCCTCGCTAACTTGTGTGGATCTATGGCCATGATATATGTCCATGGAGGCGTATGTGGTTGTGGGGTGTGCCGACCCCCCACCCCCATGTTGTTGCGTCGCTATCTCAGACAAATGCATCCTCAACAGTCCTGTAAATGTGATCACATCTTACAGGATCGGTGTCACTACGATTCTATTTGTTCACTCTTTTCAAACTTTCGGCAAAAACGAATAATTTTACATTAGAAATATCTCAATTTTGACTCATTTGATAGTGATCAGCAGACACATGCCTACTATACAGTTGCAATTGAACAATGGACTCAGCATTTAGCACAGATTTCGCGTGGAAAAAGTTTTGTCGTTTATTTTTAGCAAACTGTACAAGATTCTTGTTAAACCAGTGTATTTGTATTTGTTTATAGATTGTTTTATCTAAATCTTATTCATTCATTTCAAAATGATTTTATGACACGTGTCACCTTTCCTATTTTTAATAGTCGTCAATACAATTGCATGTTCCTTTTAAACACAGGCAAATGTTTAAAAATTGACCATATTGGTTAATAACAACATCTGGTTTTACATAATACCAAATAAACTACAATTCTTGGAAAATCGAGACTGGTTGTTCTCTAGCATATATGTTTTGTGTTTCTACAACAATGGTTGTTTGTGACATAAGTGTTGGTCAATAACAACATCTGGGTTAACATAATAACAGGCTCAAATTATTTCAGAGTGAATTGTTAAGGGATTGATTTTTGCCTGCTACATCGAGGGCAACCGCACAAATAGAAGGATAACGTTCTATCTGACAGCGGCCGTATGGATGTTCACTATAAGTATTACCGGTTCTTGAACAGGTTCTCTTTGTATGTTTTCCGGGAATATTAGCAGAAAGCACAAGTAAAACAGGGCGGTCGGGTAGCCTAGTGGTTAAAGCGTTCGCTCGTCACGCCGAAGACCCGGGTTCGATTCCCACAATGTGTGAAGCCCATTTCTGGTGTTCCCCGCCGTGATATTGCTGGGATATTGCTAAAAGCGGCGTAAAACCATACTCTCTCACTCACAAGTAAAAAATGGTAGTTGTTTATTTCATTTCCATTTTCAGATTGCGGGCGCAAGCTGTGTCTGAATGGCGGCTCTCTGGACACCAGCACATGCTCGTGCACGTGCAAGGGAATATGGACAGGAGACACCTGCACAGAAAGTACGGGTAGTTTCACGCTATCAGAACATAAGGCTGGACTTATGAGTATTTGACTACCTACCTGTTATATGATAGCAGGAGGGACCTTGTTGTCGGAAACATAGTTGAATCCATTTATAGTGCCAGAAACCTATGATCGTTGGTTGGAATCCTGGTTCGCCCCGATTATGATCCCAGGCCTGTGCTCGTGGGTTTCACCAAAGTGGTAAACATCTGAAACCAGTTTCACTTCTGGCTTACATTCCTCATTAAACTGACAAGCTGAATTACTGTCAAAAGCGGCGCTAAACTAACTCACGTACAATTCAGCTGTCTCGCGTAAAGTTATTTTCATGTGATTTATTTTGCTGTATTTTATAAAATACAGATCTAAAAGTATAGATTTCTCAAATAATTAATTATGTACTTAATCAAGGCCTTTCGCTAAAGTTTTGTCTTACATGCATCCATCTTCGCAAGGCAAGGGATTATAAAAGTCCAATTTCTACCATTTGCTACAAAGAAATGGCGGCACCCTGTCACGACGATCTGATCGATAATCAGGATCTATTTTAAAACGGGTCTTACCTCGCGAAGCGCATCAGATCATGTGAGCACCATGATTAAAAACATGAAAAGATTTGGAAAATATCCGCCAACGCCCAGTTGACGGTACACATGTTTTGCAAATCCTGCAGTCGACTGAAATCTGCACATTGGACCCCATGTTGTTAACGATCCGTATGTCTAGTTCGTTACGGGATTTTGATTGGACTATACATAGACTCCGGAATTCCAGCCCAGTTCGGCAAGGGTGGAAACTGAACTTTTATTATCAGTTAACTACCTTGCTTCGGGACGATGACATGTATCAAATACAGTGTTTGAATAAAAATATTATTATTATAATTATTGGTTATGTAAAATTCCAAGTGAAATCGTCGGGTATAACATCTGTTTAACACCCCTTTTGACAGTATTCCATTTTTTATCACGACATGTCAACTTGATCTTGGAGGAAAGCCCCAAGTGATGCAGGTCTCTGACGTTTATCACTTACTTGAAACCCAGGAGCACAGTAATGCTGCTGACAAACATTAAAAAAAACCTTAATCGGGCCGAACCGGGATTCGAACCAACAATCACAGGTTTCTGGCGTGCCCAAGGGACGCAACTCTGCACAGCGAATCACACAGAGGGTCGTATACTAGTAGGCCTAGGTAACGGGAAGGATCGCCAGCATCCATGTAAGGTACTGGTGCACATCAAGTGTAATGCTTGTTAGCCATATCAGTAACGCCAAATAAACAGCCTGAAATTCTACCAGCATTCGTTCCCGGACTTGCTGGCAAGTGCCAATTTGTATCCCAGTAATGTCTGAAAAATATAAAGTTTCGTGGAGGAGGAGGGGGAGAAGGAGGAGGGGGAGTAATAGTAGTAGTAGTAGTAGTAGTAGTAGTAGTAGTAGTAGTAGTAGTAGTAGTTGTAGTGTTGGTAGCAGTCGTAATAGTAGGACTAGCAGTAGTACTGGAGTAGTATAAGTTGTAGTAGTAGTTGGACTAGTAGTATACTAGCCACATAAAGAAACTGTGCTCGGAGAAAATATAGATATAAGGGCACACCAACCATATATGAAATATAGGTTTGAACACAGCAATTATTGGAGACATTCAAACGCTCATGCACCTGCCATGCGATATGACGTCATTGATGGGGGCCTATTGACGTGCAATGTGTTACTGCACGTGCATCCTGTGCAGCTGTACACAGCATATGCAACTCAAAATTCGCTGTCACTTTGGAAAGCATGATCTGTGGTCATTCAAAAATTCAAAACTTCTCAGGCGCAGACACAAGCATATCACAAGCAAATCATGCCAAGATTGACAGCTGCACAGCGTCATGAAGCCATTGGAATCATCCGAGCGGGAATGAGGCAACAACAGGTGGCAACACATTTCCAATGCCATCGTAACACGATATCGGCATTGGTGAGGCGTTATCAGAACACAAATGACGTTGCCGACCACCCACGTTCAGGACGTCCCCGAGTAACGACGCCAAGACAGGACAGATGGATTCGAGTTACACATCTCCGACACAGGTTCCAAACGGCAGTAACGACGTCCCAGACAATTCCTGGACTGCGCCGTATCCATCCCAACACTGTCAGGAATCGTTTACGTCAGTACGGGATTCGACCACGACGCCCTGCCATACGTCCCATCCTGACACACCGTCATCGAGTCAACCGTCTAAGATGGTGTCGAAATCATGTTCGCCAACCTCGAATATGGTGAAGAAATGTTGTCTTTACAGATTAATCGAGGTTCAACATTTCCCACAGTGACGGGGGCCAACGTGTCTACCGGCGTTTGGGAGAACGTTATGCACGCAACTGTATTGTGGAAAGGAATCGTTTTGGAGGTAGCTCTGTGATGATTTGGGGTGGGATAACAGCACGGCACCGAACCCCTTTGGTGGTTGTTCAGGGCAATCTCACCGGTATTGGCTACAGAGATCAGATTCTGAGGCCTGTGGTCATTCCTTTCCTGCAACGTCATGGCCCGGGATTGACATTTCAACAGGACAACGCTCGTCCTCACACGGCTAGGTCGCGATGGATTTCCTTCACCATAACAATGCCATGTTACTGCCATGGCCTGCACATTCTCCTGATCTCTCCCCAATAGAGCATGTGTGGGATGAAATGGAGCGCCGTCTGCGTCGTCTTCCACATCCTCCAGATAACGTCCGTGACGTGGCACAGGATTTGAGGAGGATATGGCAGGCCATTCCCCAGGCCTTCCATGCGCATTTGGTGGACTCCATGCGTCGTCGATGCACTGCTGTGATTCACGCACAGGGTGGTCATACCCGTTATTGACTTTGTGACTTTGTCGTTTGACCCCAACTCCATTTTGATCTTCTGACGTCATCGTAACAGATGTTGTTCAGATCCCGTTGACATTTTCTTATGGACCGATCATTCAGCTGCTACAGCGTCTGCATCATTTTGTTCTTGCTGTGTTGTATTTCAATCCAGAATATATTTTCTCCGTGCACAGTTTCTTTATGTGGCTAGTATAGTAGTAGTAGTAGTAGTAGTAGTAGTAGTAGTTGTAGTGTTAGTAGCAGTCGTAATAGTAGGACTAGCAGTAGTACTGTAGAGTAGCAGTAGTATCAGCAGTAGTATAAGTAGTAGTATAAGTAGTAGTAGTAGTTGGACTAGTAGTAGTAGTAGTAGTAGTAGTAGTTGTAGTGTTAGTAGCAGTCGTAATAGTAGGACTAGCAGTAGTACTGTAGAGTAGCAGTAGTATCACAAGTAGTATAAGTAGTAGTAGTAGTTGGACTAGTAGAAGTAGTCGTAGTCGTAATAGTAGTAGAAATAGTAGTAGTAGTAGTAGTAGTTGTTGTAGTGTTAGTAGCAGTCGTAATAGCAGGACTAGCAATAGTACTGTAGAGTAGCAGTAGTATCACAAGTAGTAGTAGTTGGACTAGTCGTAGTAATAGTATTAGTAGTAGTGTTAGTAGCAGTCGTAATAGTAGGACTAGCAGTAGTACTGTAGAGTAGCAGTAGTATCAGTATTAATATAAGTAATAGTATAAGTAGTAGTAGTAGTAGTATCACAAGTAGTATAAGTAGTAGTAGTAGTTGGACTAGTAGTAGTAGTAGTAGTAGTAGTAGTTGTAGTGTTAGTAGCAGTCGTAATAGTAGGACTAGCAGTAGTACTGTAGAGTAGCAGTAGTAGCAGTAGTAGTATAAGTAGTAGTAGTAGTTGGACTAGTAGTAGTAGTAGTAGTTGTAGTGTTAGTAGCAGTCGTAATAGTAGGACTAGCAGCAGTACTGTAGAATAGCAGTAGTATCAGTAGTAGTATAAGTAGTAGTATAAGTAGTAGTAGTAGTTGGACTAGTAGTAGTAGTAGTAGTTGTAGTGTTAGTAGCAGTCGTAATAGTAGGACTAGCAGTAGTACTGTAGAGTATCAGTAGTATCAGTAGTAGTATAAGTAGTAGTATAAGTAGTAGTAGTAGTAGTTGGACTAGTAGTAGTAGTAGTAGTAGTTGTAGTGTTAGTAGCAGTCGTAATAGTAGGACTAGCAGTAGTACTGTAGAGTAGCAGTAGTATCAGTAGTAGTATAAGTAGTAGTGTAAGTAGTAGTAGTAGTAGTTGGACTAGTAGTAGTAGTAGTAGTAGTAGTAGTAGTTGTTGTTGTAGTGTGAGTAGCAGTCGTTATAGTAGGACCAGCAGTAGTACCGTAGAGTATCAGTAGTATCAGTAGTAGTATAAGTAGTAGTATAAGTAGTAGTAGTAGTAGTAGTAGTAGTGTTAGTAGCAGTCGTAATATTAGGACTAGCAGTAGTACTGTAGAGTAGCAGTAGTATCAGTAGTAGTATCAGTAGTAGTAGTAGTAGTAGTAGTTGGACTAGTAGTAGTAGTAATAGCAGTAGTAGTAGTAGTAGTGGTAGTAGTAGTAGTCGTAATAGTTGGTCTTAGCATTAACATGCCAAAGGATTTGGCTATGATTTGTCAGTAATAATTTATTTTTTTTTCACCCCAGAGAAATGTGGAGCTGAGGTATGGTGGTGTGCCTTTGTCAGGATCAAGTCGTGGTGCAAAGACTTCTCCAATATCCCCGTGGCCTGCCCGAGATTCTGCAACATCTGCTGAATGCACAACGACCAATGTGGGACCGACCTCACCCACGAGTGTTGCTGTTTTCAATAAGAATAAAAAATGACAAAATATAAAGTTGTGTTATTGAGTTATTCTCATGTTTGGTTGGTTGGTTTGTTGTTTAACGCCGCACTCAGCAATATTGCAGCTATATGACGGCGGTCTGTAATTAATCGAGTCTGGAATCGAATCCAGTGATTGATATCATGAGCATCGATCCGCGCAATTGAGATACGATGACATGCATGAACCAAGTCAGCGAACCTGACCACCCGATCCCGTTAGTCGCCTTTCACGACAAGCATAGTCGCCTTTTACGGCAAGCATGGGTTGATGAAGACCTATTCCACCCCTGAATCTTCACGGGTCTCTCATGTTTGGACAACATCCATTTAAATCACCAAGACCAAATCCATTGAATTTGAAGTTTCGATATCATAGGACGCTCATCTTTCATCATAACCAATATATTTGACGTTATTCTTAAATTTGATGCAATATAATTTCGAAATAAAAATCTACACACGGGGGCTGGTCAAAATGTTGTATGCCCAATAAACAAAACCAACAATTGTGAAAAGTTGGGTTTTTTTATTTTATTTTTAATACACCTGTCATATCGGTAGTGAAGTTTTCTCAAACCGCCGTAAATACTCATTCACGGCAGCTTTAATGTCATCGTTATCGTCATAGTGAGTGAGTATGGTTTTACGCCGCTTTTAGCAATATTCCAGCAATATCACGGCGGGGGACACCAGAAATGGGCTTCACACATTGTACCCATGTCGGGAATCGAACCCGGCTCTTCGGCGGGACGCTTTAACCACTAGGCTACCCGACCGCCCCGTTGTCGTCATAGAGGGTTCCACGAAAGTGTTGTTTCACTTTAGGAAACAAGTGGAAATCACTTCGAACCCACATTGTCGCACAGCAGCCTTTGCAAGTCGAGAGGTGTGGGAAGAGTGTGTGAGTGAGTGAGTCTGATTTTACGCCGCTTGTAGCAATATTCCAACAGTATCGCGGCAGGGGAAACAAGAAATGGGTCTCACACATTGTTCCTATGTGGGGAATCGAACCCGGGTTTTCAGCGAGATGAATGAACGCTTTAACCACTAGGCTACCCCATCGCCCCGTGTTGGAAGAGGCATTGTCATGAAGGGGTAAAAACTCCAGCCTTGCCACTTTTCTTGAATTGAATCTCTCAGGCGATGAGGCAAATCACCATAGTAGACATCCAGCTGTGTGACGGCGGTCTGTAAATAATCGAGTCTGGACCATACAATCAAGTGATTGATATCATGAGCATCGATCCATGCAATTGAGATACGATGATATGCATCATCCAAGTCATCAAACCTGACCACCCGATCCCATTACCCAGCAGGCACGCAACGTTGGATCAACGTTTAAAATTGGTTGCGTTAAGGTTGTGACGTTGATCAACCAAAATGCAACGTTGTATCAACGTTAAATCTGAAACGTTGCGCCATGATTGTAATACTGACGTCACAACAACGTTGAATTTAAGACGTTCGTACATCATTTCCATTTGACGTACGCCTATTGGAAAATCGACAAATCACCCTACTTTTCCACTCCGTTTACCTGTTTTAACACTGCGTTGAAACCCAAGCATGATCAGTTAGCCTGCCAATTCAAATTTGAATAAGGTAGGTATATTAAATATGTATATATATGTATATATTATATATACGTGCCATTTTTTGTGGCCTCGCTAAAATGACATGGGTTTCGCGCCATTTGTGCAGGAGCTCATTCCTTAGTGACGGTTTCTAAGTTCGTTAGACGCCATTTATTTCGCCTTGCTAAATTAACAGGGGGCCCCAAAACACAACGGCTTGAATTAACTTCTTTCGTAAGTAAATGTTTAATTACCAATGTACATACAAAATACAACGTGTCTGTTGAAATGTCACTCCGACGGATGTCATTAAGGAGGTTGGTGCACGCCATTATTTACCTTCTATTTTTGAGTACTTTTTCCAAATTTCGACGTCATGGATCGCTTTGATATTCAATTTCAAAGTTAAATCATATTAAACCATAGAAATGCAAGCGGGGTAATTCTTTCTGCTTATTTTGACCTCTATCGCCATATTTTTTCAAGTAATGATGCTGTAACGTGCCGCTTCATTAATAGCATCGAACAAACATGGCGGATAGGTGTTCCGGGTGTAATGCATGTGTAACGTCAAATTAATAACTCGGCATCTCTACAAGAAGAAATTATGAAACTGTTCCATTAGACATTATGAATGAGTACAGTGCCAATACATAGGTTTTAATAAATTGGGTGGGTTGTCAGATTTGGTTGATTGGCTGTCAATGTGGAACTGTATTTGATATTCGATATTTGTGACTCAAATTTTGTTGCAATTAATGTTACTAGATTATATAGATTTTCTATCATCCGATAGTTTTGAACATTATTATTCCACTATGAATATTAGCAATAGTGTCAAAAAATAATGCATTAGTAGATTTCTATTTATATATGTGTTCATTGTTGACTTTAGGACAAATATTCGCAAGGTATATTATAGGTCGTTTAGGATGCATGTCTACCATTATCATTGGCATACAGGAGGCAAGAATCTACAGTTATCAAATTTCGAAGTTCCTCAACAATGTTAGTTTAACTCTTTCAACACCGTAGGCCGGTATACCGGCCAAGAAGCATTGAGTCCCCCAGACACCGTAGGCCGGTATACCGGCCAAGAAGCATTGAGTCCCCAGACACCGTAGGCCGGTAAACCGGACAAGAAGCATTTAGTCCCCAGACACCGTAGGCCGGTATACCGGACAAGAAGCATTGTGTCCCCAGACACCGTAGGCCGGTATACCGGACAAGAAGCATTGAGTCCCCAGACACCGTAGGCCGGTATACCGGCCAAGAAGCATTGAGTCCCCAGACACCGTAGGCCGGTATAAAGGACAAGAAGCATTGAGTCCCCAGACACCGTAGGCCGGTATACCGGACAAGAAGCATTGAGTCCCCAGACACCGTAGGCCGGTATACCGGACAAGAAGCATTTAGTCCCCAGACACCGTAGGCCGGTATACCGGCCAAGAAGCATTGAGTCCCCAGACACCGTAGGCCGGTATACCGGACAAGAAGCATTTAGTCCCCAGACACCGTAGGCCGGTATACCGGACAAGAAGCATTGAGTCCCCAGACACCGTAGGCCGGTATACCGGACAAGAAGCATTGAGTCCCCCAGACACCGTAGGCCGGTATACCGGCCAAGAAGCATTGAGTCCCCAGACACCGTAGGCCGGTATACCGGACAAGAAGCATTGAGTCCCCCAGACACCGTAGGCCGGTATACCAGCCAAGAAGCATTGAGTCCCCAGACACCGTAGGCCGGTATACCGGACAAGAAGCATTGAGTCCCCAGACACCGTAGGCCGGTATACCGGCCAAGAAGCATTGAGTCCCCAGACACCGTAGGCCGGTATACCGGACAAGAAGCATTGAGTCCCCAGACACCGTAGGCCGGTATACCGGACAAGAAGCATTGAGTCCCCAGACACCGTAGGCCGGTATACCGGCCAAGAAGCATTGAGTCCCCAGACACCGTAGGCCGGTATACCGGACAAGAAGCATTGAGTCCCCAGACACCGTAGGCCGGTATACCGGACAAGAAGCATTTAGTCCCCAGACACCGTAGGCTGGTATACCGGACAAGAAGCATTTAGTCCCCAGACACCGTAGGCCGGTATACCGGCCAAGAAGCATTGAGTCCCCCAGACACCGTAGGCCGGTATACCAGCCAAGAAGCATTGAGTCCCCCAGACACCGTAGGCCGGTATACCGGCCAAGAAGCATTGAGTCCCCCAGACACCGTAGGCCGGTATACCAGCCAAGAAGCATTGAGTCCCCAGACACCGTAGGCCGGTATACCGGACAAGAAGCATTGAGTCCCCAGACACCGTAGGCCGGTATACCGGCCAAGAAGCATTGAGTCCCCAGACACCGTAGGCCGGTATACCGGCCAAGAAACATTGAGTCCCCAGACACCGTAGGCCGGTATACCGGACAAGAAGCATTGAGTCCCCAGACACCGTAGGCCGATATACCGGACAAGAAGCATTGAGTCCCCAGACACCGTAGGCCGGTATACCGGACAAGAAGCATTGAGTCCCCAGACACCGTAGGCCGGTATACCGGACAAGAAGCATTGAGTCCCCCAGACACCGTAGGCCGGTATACCGGACAAGAAGCATTGAGTCCCCAGACACCGTAGGCCGGTATACCGGACAAGAAGCATTGAGTCCCCAGACACCGTAGGCCGGTATACCGGACAAGAAGCATTGAGTCCCCAGACACCGTAGGCCGGTATACCGGACAAGAAGCATTGAGTCCCCAGACACCGTAGGCCGGTATACCGGACAAGAAGCATTGAGTCCCCAGACACCGTAGGCCGGTATAAAGGACAAGATGCATTGAGTCCCCAGACACCGTAGGCCGGTATACCGGACAAGAAGCATTGAGTCCCCAGACACCGTAGGCCGGTATACCGGCCAAGAAGCATTGAGTCCCCAGACACCGTAGGCCGGTATACCGGCCAAGAAGCATTGAGTCCCCCAGACACCGTAGGCCGGTATACCGGCCAAGAAGCATTGAGTCCCCAGACACCGTAGGCCGGTATACCGGCCAAGAAGCATTGAGTCCCCAGACACCGTAGGCCGGTATACCGGCCAAGAAGCATTGAGTCCCCAGACACCGTAGGCCGGTATACCGGCCAAGAAGCATTGAGTCCCCAGACACCGTAGGCCGGTATACCGGACAAGAAGCATTGAGTCCCCAGACACCGTAGGCCGATATACCGGACAAGAAGCATTGAGTCCCCAGACACCGTAGGCCGGTATACCGGACAAGAAGCATTGAGTCCCCAGACACCGTAGGCCGGTATACCGGACAAGAAGCATTGAGTCCCCAGACACCGTAGGCCGGTATACCGGACAAGAAGCATTGAGTCCCCCAGACACCGTAGGCCGATATATCGGCCAAGCCGTAGCCACGTCAAAATAGTATATATTTTTGTGGACCT